TCTATATGGGGAGAGAGAAAGAGAAAGAGAGAGAGTAATGTAGTAGTTTATACAATGATAAAAAAAAATCACGAATTTCAGTGACACGGTTGGTTATTTCACATAGATAATTATGAAATGTTAGTTGAAATACCTTATAATGATCGTTCAATTATGAAGTTTGACTATATGTTTGGCTAAAGTATTTATAAGTGTTGAATAAAGTAGACGTTTTACTAATTAATTAAGAATAATTTTGCAATACTATTGATGTATTGGACTCCAATGAGTATGAATGTTTCTTATGAGAACTCAGAACTAAAATGAAAAAAAAAAAATGACTCTCGAACATTATAAATAGATAAATAACTCATGCATCTATAATATACATTAGATCCTTATTTATTTATTTATTATTATTATTATTAGGGACTTATTTTCTTATATATTTTTGTTTGAGTTTGTAACATGTTATTTAAATCCTTTTATGTTACGACACCATTATGTTGTTTTAACAAAAAAATTATATTAAGAGCTTATTTATTCTATATTTCATTTTGTTCTTGCAATCATATATTTATTAAATTAATTAATTTATCTTATCGGCCAAAAATATTTGTTACCACGTGCATTGCACGTGCACTTTACTAGTACCATAAAAATAGGATTAAATCAATAACAAATCCAAAATATAATTACCTCTCTGTGCAGAACTCGAGTTCTCTTCTTCTTGAGCCTTGCGCCTACAATCCTGTTCAAATCTGTCCAGTGCATGCATTTCATGGTACAATTCCTGCGATCTAAACATATTAAATACACTTTCCAAAGTTCAAATGCACCAAAATAATTAAGAAGAAGAGAAAGAGGAAATAAAACTTTAAATCATGAGATAACTTACAGCCGTGTACTGAACCAACGTCGTCAACTGATGCATATCAGCTTCTGCTGCTTCTTTCAACTGTTTGAGAGGCGTGAGCTCCATTTCAATTCTAAATTTTTGCAAAAAGTGAGCTACACATTACACTTCGAAACTCACTTAACGAGATGATGAGGAACTACATGAAATAAAAGAGGAAAACATCGGGTATGTCACTAGTTTACTTCTCGAAATAACGGTCCAAGTAGTGCCACTGGGGATCCTTACAGCGATTCCCAAAACGAATGACTTCACCAGAAAAGACTTTCAACTCATCCCTGATAATAATTGTAAGCATATACCAATGAGCACCATAAAATTAAACAATAATTACAAAAACTAACCTTGAGATTAACTGAAAAAAAAAAAAAAAAAAATCAAGTAAAAATCACAGACAATGTATATTTACTAATTTTAGGCGATAAGCTAAACCTCAGGGTTAATTTATAGAAAAAATAAACCTTTCTTGAAAGTATTATCAAGACCTCTTGTCAAGTGCAGCAATTCTTAGGAGTTCATCCATGTCCCTTGATATCAATCGTTGCACGCCTTCAGAAGGGAGCACAACCTCTTTTAAATGCCGAATATTCTCGCTCGAAAGGGAGTTCATCAAATTAGCTCCCTTGACGACCGTGTTTGCCACCTCAAATGCAAGAATCGAGATTGCAATACCCTTAGTAGTTATCCCGGATGCAAAACCACCGCTAAGGTTCAAATTAGTCATGCTGCTACCAAGCGTGTCCAGCACATCAACTGCTTTGCCGAGGCCAACTGTGCCCGCTCGGCCCAAAATTGAACTCACCTCCGAGACCTGCGAATAGAACAAGATGATATGTAGTTACTCATATACCCGAAAAAAAAAGCTTAAGATAATAAACTCCGGATATAAGTTTTTGGTGTCTAAGAATCGGGAGTAGTAGTCTTTGGGAGTTCTATATAGTCCAAATAAAATGCGCATGACATTTGATATGTAACATTGAATACAGAAATATAGAAGGAAATTATAATCTCCAAGCATGCAATAAAAATATATATGTGTGTGCCTTTACAGAGAGCAAAAGGTTCCTAACATAGTAACTAATACTTCTATGTTAACCGTCTCGTTTAATATTATACTGAAAGAAATTAAGAACGAATAAATAAATAAAACAACAGCAGCAACAGATCATGTTAACTCACAACAGCAAAAATTAAACCTCTCCCAAGATTTTGGAATCTGAAAAAATTCCCAAGAAATAGTACGCATACACGACATACCTTAGCAATGGCGGCTTGCTTTGATCTCGTCGATCGAGATTTATCCGATAATGCCCTCGACAGACGAGGTATACCATCATTAAATTCGTCAAAATTCGCCGGGTAGGAGAATGGCTCTCTCGATTCCCTATCACTGATTTCCACGTCAGAGGGTGTATTATTATCTTCTTTCGTGTCCAATACACGAGCCTGATAAATAATTCCAGAGCCGTAGCTCAATCGGCCATTGACGTGTGAAAGTGCGTCAGCCAATGCAGTGTCGTCAGTGGACCTTCTCGAGCAAAGCCCACCCATTGGTGACTTCTTTTTTCTAACTATGTGACGGTTTATATCGGGCAATAATCATCAATGCAATCGTCTGACACAAAAAAAGGATTCGAATATTAGGACTGAAATGAGGAATACCAAGAATAAAGATCACAAATTTGGAGAACAAATGGCCTAAAGAGATGTGCAGCTAAAGAATGTAGTCAAATGCACAACTTAAAAGCGAAGATACAGCAAAAGACTCGTGACAGAAAACCAATGCTGCCTAGGAGAATTACAAGGATAAAGATTAAAAGGCAAGTCAAAGATATGACAACAATCATTAGCATCTTCACAATGATTTATAATTTAAACTAAAGCCATAAGCACATTCTATTAGAATAACAAATCAAAAATCGAACTTCAAATGGGGGAAAACAACATGCAATTAGACATAAGAAACTCTTTGAATCACCCAAAAACAAAAACACAGACAAAAAGGAACAAAAAGCAAAAGAACCCAAATTCATCAGCTATAATCTGTACTGCACAAAATAGAGTAAGAAAAAAATTAAGAGAAAGATGATGACTTGGATCTAATAATAATAAAAAAAAAACACAAAACCCAGGAAAAAAAGGATTACAACAATGATGAGTGACAAAAGTAAAAAGGGATCGAGCATATTGCAACTATATAAATACCTCATTATTAGAATCAGTGGAAAAACATAAGCAAATCTAGCTTGAGGGATTATAAACACTCAGCCCATCAAAAGGGTCTTCGCAGATAACAATCAAGATTCAACAGAGAGCATCTTCTTCGAGCGGGGTTTTGTTTTTCTCTCTTTTTTCTTTGGTCCCAATCTTCAAAGTTCACATTTTTTTTTAATGCTCAGCATTAATGGTACAGGTGTTGATGCTGATTTTGCTGACCCTTTCTACCCAAAATGGGGCTCTAAAATCAAGATTTTTCATATGCTAGGTCAGGTAGTAGAGAAGCCACTCTCTCTCTCAACTTCCCATCTCTCTGTTTTTTCTGGTCAAAACCCCCCCAAGAAGGTGAAAAACTCTTTTGCCTGGTAAAAAATAGTGATAATTTTTTCAAGTCAAATATGTGGTGCTTTTTTTGTTTGGGTAGATTCGGAGCTTTACCCCAACTAATTCTTTGGTCGATCCGAGTCGTACACCTGGCAATGGTGGGTGAGTCTTCCAACAAAGTTTTTTGCATTCACAAGGACTCGAACCTGAGACCTTGCTTAAATATGTGGTGCTTTTACTGCTTTGCAGCTTGAGTGATGACCATTTTCATGTATTTTTTTACCACTGTGACCTTTTTTTTATGTCTCATTAAGTCTTCTTGTTGGTCAAAATATTATACAACACTCGTGTAATTAACTGAAAATTCTATAATTAAAAAAAGTAAGAAAAATGAAAGTTTATATTTAAAATTTTGAAATAGTTTTTAATAATTATGTTTTAGTTTTTCTTTTTTTTTTGGTACAATTTTATTTTTTCTTTAAATGATGATGATATTGCTACTGTATTATAATAACTTCATAATTTATATCTTGTTGGCTTTATACATAAAGGTATTTACAAAATATATATGTGTGAATATGAATGTTAAATCAAATATTATATCATAAACAAAAAAATAATAACAGACAAAAAAATATAAAAAGCTTTAAAATATAGTTATGCCAGCCAAATCAAGCTAAGCTGAAATTTTCAAGTTTTTGCAGCAATGAACAGTGTAATTTCAATATAATAACAATTTTGATTGAATCAAATCGGATTATTAGGTATAAAATTTACATTGCACCAATGCATATAAGCTTTTAGCATAAATAATTATTTCGCGATAAAAATGACTTATGTCAGACAACTTTCGCTACTAGCATTGGGTGCTCGTTCTCTCCTTTATTAACGGGAGCGTTGGCTTTCCGTCATGGGTTCCGCTTTGCATTGGACTCATAATTAAATGTGCAAGCGGTGCTGACAGATTCTCTCGAAGTTGTAGGCAGCATTATTAATTCGGAGGATTTGGACCCTCTTTTTAAGTGTTTACGGATATTAGGGATCTTTCAATGACTTTAGATTGCAGCTCAGTTTGTCATGTCTCACATAAGGGCAACGTAGAGACTCATAATAATGCTAATTGGGTGATTGATTCACATTATTCTTCTTATTGGTATGTGATGTAGGGGAAAACGTGAACGAAGGGAAAAGATAAAAGATACAAGGAGATACTCTCTCCAGAACACGGGATACTCTCCCAAAAGAAAACACGATATCTTATTTCATTCAATATTCAACTGAATAAAACAATAGATGGGGGAGCCCTTTAAATAAGACTCCTAAACATTATTCCTAACTTGTCCAACAAGACAAGATCTCTAATATTTAATTCCTAACTTATTCTCCAAGATAATAATAATAATAATAATAATAATAATAATAATAATAATAATAATAATAATAATAATAATAATAATAATTAACTATCCTCATCATTCTCCCTCGGTTGAGCAGGATTCGGCCTCAAATCCGATCCGTTCCCGTTGGAGCTGTCCCCATGACAAGAATACCCCCGATATTTCCCTCGATCGAACACAAAAGTTGAATGTCCTCCAACAACAACTTCGAACGTAAAAAGAATCTCGGTCACGGAAGTAACTGCTCGTTTGCCGCGCTCAAATCCATAACGACGGCCAGACACCCCGTTGTTGGGAGAC